TTGCCCCTAAGCATGCAGTCCCCTGCTGGCCCCTCCTGGATGTGTGCCAGAATAATTTTCTCGAACAGCTTGCCTAGGATCGAGGTAAGACTAACTGGCCTATAGTTTCCCGGGTCCTCCTTCCTCCCTTTTTTGAAGATGGGAACCACGTTGGCCCTCTTCCAGTCCACCAGTACCTCTCCAGAGCACCACGAGTGCTCGTAAAGCCGTGCCAGGGGACTTGTAATGACCTCAGTCAGTTCCTTTGTTTAAGGCTTTTATTGGGTGTGATTTTATATGGCCATCTTCACCTCCTTCTCCCTTAAACCTCTCTACTCCTGCCATAGCTCTGTACCCTGACATATCCCACTGCGACTTTGATTTGCGGTTCAGGGAAAAACACAGGCTGTTCAGAGGAAAATCACAGCATTTCACTGGCAACCATGCTTCCCCTTCTTTCTGTATACTGTTGTCAGTGTCCCTCCCACCCCACCCCACCGTCTGCATCCCCCCCTTCTTTGATCTCTAGCAAGACGTGTTAGTTATGCCTCTGCTGGTGAAAACATTAGGACATCATGCCTTGACTGGTTCATTCTTCTTAGTGCTTCCTTTACCTGTGCTCTTCTCCATCTGGGCACAAGCCATTCCATCAGAGTCCCTTGGCTTCATTCCTCCTCTAGCAACATTTTCTGGCTCAGATGAATCTCTCTGTTACTATCAATTCATGAGCATGTGATAGCACTCGATAGAAAGTGATGTGAGGCTAGTAATTCAACACGACAGCTGATATTGGGCCTAGGATGCATTTCCCACTGGCAAAGCTGAGCTTCACAGAGCTTTTAAAAGTATTTTTAGTCCCCCCAAAATAAAAGAGAAACTAAACCTGATTACTGGTGTTGCTGCCGTTGCATACTCGGCTATTTTTACTTCCAACAGACTGGGCCTGGGTCCAGCTTTTAAAAAAAGGCTGGAATTATTTTACTTCCATTAAGAAAAAAACCTCCAAGCCTGATGTTATCAAGTCAGTGAGGGGACATCTGATCCCGAACTTGTCAGGCAGACGTTTCTCCGAGGGGGCACGTCAGAGAAATGCAGGGAGCTTGAACAGATCACCGGATCAGCTCTTGCACTGCAGAGACTTGGCACTGGCACAGACCTTCTCTGTACACAAGCTCCTGGAACATGAGTGGCACCAACAGGATAGTTAGAAAACTGACAGGCCTACTCAAGACAGGATGCTGGGTTAAAAAGGACTAGACACTGGCAGATACATGGTTACCACTCCTTTGTCCTAAGACCCTCATTGGTAGTGGGGAACAGACAGCATATACTGCAAGTCTAAAGAATCCTGAACAATGCGGCAGATGCTATGGGTGGTCCTATGGCAGGAGATAGGACTAGGATACAGGGGTCCCCTCAGAAGTGACAGGACTGGGGTGTGCCAAGCTTTTTGTTACAGTTTAAGTAGATCTGTGAGATTTCCATCCTGAACAGCCTCCATTTCAGAAGTCATTGCTGCCCTAAAACTAGTACAGCACAGATGAGCTGCCCCAGAACTGCCCCATGCCAGTATGCCACATAGCATATGTGGAGAGCCTTCCTCTAGTGTGAGAAGAGAGTTAACTTGCTATGGCCTATCAGGCCTTCTCTCTTTGCTGAAGTTGTCTGCTGGGGGCCTTGAATACTGATGGTGAGGATAGTTTTGTGATACAGACACCTTCCCTGCTAAGAAGTGCCCTGTGGCAGCCTTGGCGTGAAATGGGCTGGGTAGGTCATCTGGCACTTGGAGAGTAATGGGTTGTCATTGCTACCAGGTTGGAAGCAGTAAATCATGCAGCAAGTTGTCCAGTAAGATTTTCTCAAAGCAGTTTTACGCACTGCAGTCAAATGTCAAGGAAGTTAAGCGGTTGGTGTGAAATGCAGAATGTTTCACCACCAGGTGACTTTGCAGCAACCTTCCTCTCTCTTTCAAGGCTCTGCTCCTCCCTTCTTGCTCTTTTTGCTCCACTTCAGTCTCTCATTGTTTCTTTTTCATCTGCCTTGTCCTATTCTCATTTCTGAGCCTTCTCCCCTGCTGCTCCAGCTCCAAGACCATCCCACCCAGTAGGCTTCCTCTTGCTCCTTTTCTATGTCCTCCTTGGAAGCATGATTCAGCCCACCGCTTTCTCAACCATATTTAAAAAATGAGTTAGTAAATGAACCAACAAAACGCTAAATCCCAAGGAAACAGAAAGGTGCCTGAACAACGCTGCTCAGTTTTTGGGCTTTTGTTATTGACTCCGCCTCTTCTTCCATTGCTATGTGACCACTTCAGCTGTTAGTTTCCTGGAGTAGCAGGGTTTTTGCCTAGAAGCTTGTCTCGAGCATTTCTTGTGCACTGCACCAATGACACATAGCAAGACATGTAATAAGTGCATGTCAGTCTGTTCACTTGCTGTGACACTTTAGACCACTCTGTTCAGTGACTGGGAGCCAGGAGGAGCTGGCCCATATATGGGCCACTGTGCTCACAAGCTCTTCCAGGCTTGTGGCAATGGTGACAGGATGGAACAATGGTTGTGTAAACTGTTATTTAAAGTGTTTACCTCAAGGAGTGTCAAACAGGATGGGGAACAGGAGAACAGACTGGTTCAAAATTAACAAGCCAAAGTCCTTGGATGAACAGACCTATATCCACTCAGCACGAGGAGGAGGACAAATCTCCTTGAGTCTGTCTTATCTTTTTTAATGCCCTTAAGTTTTTGTGTCCCTGTAATCTGACTGAGAGTCCCTAATACTGTTGCAACCTGTGCAACCATCTCACCAGCCAAGCACTGGGGCCACTGCCCCTGTCTGCATGTGTCTCCTTTGTAACAGTGACTTCATCCTCCTATTTTTTTTCCTTTTGCTGCATCAAAATGTACCACAAAGAATTGCAGACTGGTTTCTTGCTTCTGCTGCTAGGTGATGCCACCTTCCTTGCTTTTTAGCAAGGGGCAATGGACAGCTGTGTTTCATTTGGAAAGTCCTTCGTGGGCCAGGGGACCCTCCTGCTTCCCCTATCAAGTTTTAAGAGGTTTATTTGCACTGCTTTCCAGATGTGGAGCCAGTTCCCACTCAGCTGCTGATTCACCACTTCCCAGGAATGCATATTTTCCCCCTTATTGACCAAAAGGAGGCACTGCTTATTCTGCACAGCAGGGCGTGGAGACCTTTTGAGGTTTCTCTCCTTTGCAATCAGAATACATTTATATACATGGGAAAGTCGTAGGATGGAATCTAGTTGGAGGGCTCTCAGCCATCACCACTCTGTATCACTTACTGAACTGGGTTGTGCTTTAGCAATAGCCATTGTTGTCTCTCTGGAAGTCAGCCTAGGACAGTACAAGTGATGGTGTGGGACATTAGGTGGAGGTTGTGTCAGCACCAGGCTGCTGTGTTGCAGTATTACTGCTTCTAGTATAATGGTATAAAGGTTTCAGTGCAGTGGTAGGTTAACAAAGGGATGGCTTGAAACTTGACAGATTGAGCCTCTTTCTGCATAGACTGTCTGGGAGAACAGTAAGAGTTCTTCGGATTTATTCATCCAAAACGCTCATGTTTATTACTCAAACATTTAGTCACAATATTTGTTGTGTAGTGTGGCTGCTCAGGGAAGTCGCATGAGTTTATTTCTGTTCCTTGACTGGATGATAACACAAGTGTGTGTGGTGTAAATATTTGCATAAAATTCAGTTTGACTCTAAAAATCACTTTCAGTGGCTGTTTGTCACAGCTAAACTCGATAGTTGCCTAATTTCATAGATATTGAATGCAAAAGACCAAGGGTCTGGTCAGAAAGAATTTACTTAATCGAGACAAATATTCATGGATTCTTTTCATTACTGACCCACACTTCATACTGACAATACTGTATGTGCAACTGCTGTCCTTATGATATTGATTATTGATGCCAATATTGCTATTTGAATAGATATGGAAAATTTTGATATTGCATTCAATGTTCTGTTTGCAGTCTAACTCTGTATTTTAAAGAGCCACGGCTACATTTCTTCTGTGTTTCCCTAGTTCCATGTTATCTTTGCCATGCTGTGGTAAAGGTTGTTTCTATTTATATTTAGTTCTTTTCTTATTACAGTTGCCTTGCTTGATAAAAATGGTAACATCTTGGTTCTGTTCATATTTCTTAATCTCTTTGTTATGGGCAGCTTTCCTCAAATATAGATGGTAAGAGGTCACAGAACATTTAACTTTTCATTTTTAAGAACAATCTCAAGGGGTTTTTTTATAACTTCAGGTTCAGTTGACATTTCTGAGACTTCCTTTTTTAAAAACATGATCATCCCGAGGGCACTGAAGGCTGAAGCCCTCAATTTATCCACCAAGCAGTTATTCAAAAGTAGGGGTGAGCTAATTTTTGTCTTCGTTAATGTGGTGGAGAAAGGTAACTCTTTCAGTGATACTATCAGGCAGCCTCCTGCTCAAGCTGGGATTGATGGGACAGCTGGATTCAGTGACCTGGTCAGGGAGATTCTGCTGGATATGGGAGGACAGGCACTCCTCCTCTCTTGAACAATATTCCAGACTTCATCATGGCACTGCTAAGAGGTTATCAGGATTTTCTACCTCTTGTATCTGCAGGGGTTCGCCTGGATCGAGTCCGTGGGGGGCGCCAGAAATACAAGAGAAGACTGGACTCTGAGAGTAGCACTTACCTGAGCTTACAAATACCCCCTCCAGCCAAAAAGCCATGTAAGTATAACCGGCACACTGTGTTCCTTGGGTCTGTTTTCTCTTGGTGCCACGAATCTGCAGGTAGTACTATGCAGATAGCATCCCTTTCAATTTCCATTCATTACTGTCAGACAATTCTTCCCCCTCTGACTGTACTGTAGGTGTGGAAATGTGTGTCCATCCTATTGTTGCTATATCCTTTCTAACCATAGATCCTCACTAGAACTTCCCCAGAGACAGAGACTGAGCATATAACCTCAGTGATGCTCTGGTCTTCACCTGACCTATGAAATTAGCCCCACACCCTGATCTCTCTCTAGCTTACAATCAGGTGGTTTCTTAAATTTCTCAGCTACCGTATTTCACATACCTTGCCCTCTTCATATCCCTCTTGGCTCTCTACCCAAGATAACCAAAGAATTTCTTCTTACAGTAAGTTTGTGCTTTTGTCAACAGTAAAAAAGTGCTGGTTTAGTGCTGAAGTCTCACTGATTCTAATTTCCAAGCCTGAGGCTAACTACAATGCAATCTACTTTCTGTGAACAAAAAAAAAAATCCCAAATTCAGACTCCATGGTACCAAAACTCCCTTCAGTCCTGGATTCTGCCAACTGTAGTCTCAAAGCTTCCTCCTCTTGAAAGAGTATGCTAGTAACTTCTCCTTTGCAATTTGCAGTGACTAAGATCGTCTCCCACTTGCTGGTGGCAGAGCCAGAGAAGATTTATGCCATGCCCGATCCTACTATGCCGGAGAGTGATATCAAAGCACTGACAACCCTCTGTGACTTGGCAGACAGAGAACTGGTGGTGATCATTGGCTGGGCCAAGCACATCCCGGGTAAAGTGGGGAATTTGGAGGTTTGGTGTAAAAGGCAAGGGTGGGGGTGATTGATTTGGTCCACTACTTTGCCTTTAGTGGGGTGTTCTGACACTCTTTGATGGGTTGAAACTATTTCTGGAAAAACCTGCTGATGGTGAAGCCCTAACTGGCAACATGCCCAAATACAAGATTTACATATGTAAATTGATTAGCATATGCACATAATACCTTTGGGTTATGTGGTAGCCTTGTAGATGATATAGTTCAGCTTTCAGTAGTACTTGAAAGTGAGTGGTACATAAACAATCCCTGGGATGATGTGGTAAACTGTGGTGATTTTGTGTGTAATGTTACATTGGATCCAGTCTGTCCTAGAACATTGTGTCTGTAGATAACCAAGGGATCAGATGGTGTACCTAATGGTATAACATCTCATAGAAATGTAGGTTGTCATAATGCCACTTTGCCTATAGTACAGGGCTCTCGCTACTCTCTGAAGGGGAAGCTTTCCTTGTCATATGTATCTACCCTAGTGTAAATCCTACCCATCTGGAAGACTAGTTCAGAAGCCATCTTGGAACACCAGTTTCTTGTGCCAGTAGGGTACAGGGACATCTTTATGGCAGTGTGATTGGCCTTCAAGGCTGATTGTAGTATACTACAGGATCCTGCGTTGTTCAGCTAGCAGACCAGCACTGTTTTATGCTTCCAAGTAGAGTACAAGTACTTCAGTAATAGAACCCAAGTTGAAGGAATGGCCATCACCTTCATTCAGGTGTGGGAGGCTCCCAGAGGATTTCTGACTTTAGACAGGTTATGTTGATTCCTCAGTATGACTTTGTGTTAACTACCATGATGTAAAGAATCAAGGAAAAGTGTCCAGCATCGTGGGTAGAGGTTCTGAGTGGACCAGGAGAATGCATGGGTCAGCGTGGAAGGAATGTCAAATGTGTCCTCTGTGCTCACCTTGCTGCGTTGCAGAAGACTGCTTCAGCTAGACATGCAGCGTGAATAATCCGATACAGCAGTCTCATCCCCACCCCCGCCTTTCTTCCCCCAACCAGGGGAACATTTTGTACTCAGCTACTGGATGTAATCCACTGTCAAACAGACATTTTAGATCTTATTAGACCATTTGGGAGTATGTGACAGGGTTTAGTTGTCCTAGCCTGGCACACATTTAGTTCAGGTAGCACTTTCTTTCTCTAGTGTTTTCCTTGTTCTCTCTATGGCTGCTGCCTCTCTCTGCTTCAAGGAGCTATTTTCCAGTAAAAAATTCCTATTGCTGGATTAGGAGGTTGGTGACTCCCCTTAAAAAAACTCCCTGGGCTGCTTGAATTGATGACTCTCATGCACCTTAACTGTAGAGCTCAGACAAATAGGTCTTTCTGAGGACAGTGTTTTCTGAGGAGAGGTTAATCCAGGTGGTGCCCTTCTTAAGAGATCTGCAGTATCAGAGATTACCCCACTCACTAGCTGTGGAATCCACATTGGGCTGATTCAGCACAAACTGGGTTATGTTGCTGATTAAGAGACCTCAGCCTGGATTGCTCCACTAACCCAGCATCTGGGGAATGTTAACAGGGAGGGTATTAACCCAATGCAAATGAAGGCAGTCATGGGGTTATGTGGCTGTGACTGTTATGTCTAGATGCTGTAGTCCATCCTTACTAGCCATGGTTACTGTAGTGCACTGGGGATGCCCAACCATAGATCCATAACCACCTACTGCAGCTACAGTGACTACTGGCTGCTTCACTCTGAATAACCCTTGTTGGGAAAGATGCACATTCCATCTCTGCACTGCTGCTGCTACTTTCTTAGAAACGCAGCAGAACAGCAAGGTGACTCCTGCTTTCTAAAGAGGGATCTTTTCCTTTTGAAAGGACACAGTCATCCTGCAGCTCTTTCCTGTAACTCCCTTACCTTTCAGACACCTCATAATGTAGCAAACCAGTCACTGTAGTCAGAGCAGCTCACTCCTGATCTACAGCAATATCCATAATCATGTCATTTTTAAAGGCAAGTGCTTGGGGTGATTGTATAAGAGATTAGAATTCAAAAATAAAATACCAGCAAGGCTTGGCTTTTTGGTTTCTTTTTTTAAAACCTCCTTTTAGCAATGTGAAATGAATGAAGCAAGTGGACTGAGTCAAAGCAAGGAGGAGGGAATAACTATCACAGAGTGGCCAGGCAGTTTGGTCCCTTGGCTTTGTATAGAATCCCAGACCCCAACACTTCCTCACATCACGGCTATCAGATGCTTGGGCTCCCACATGCCTTGGGTCTTAGACGCTGAGAACACAGGGAAAGGTTTGTGCGTTTTTTTGTTCATCAAAGGGTAAGGCTGAGACCAACACCCTAAGGACCCAGTTCCCAATACAAACTCCTCCACAGTGTTAGCAAAATGAAACTGGTTAAGTTTAAAGCCACTTTCCTGCAAATAGGAACAGGACAACATTAGATTATTAGCTCAGTATCTTCCCACGCCAGGTGGTGACCTTCCCTCTGGATGAGACTCCCTTCCCTTCTCCCGCCTGCCCTCTTTGTTAGTCACCTTTGTATTTCTTCTACCTTTTCCACGTGCTTGTGCAGGAAGGGATTTCTCTTGAGAGGTGATGATGATGGAGGTTCTCCCAAGATGGCTGTGGTGCTGTTCTTGTTGGGAAGATGCTAGCACCAGCACAGAATGAAATATGGCAAGTGGAGTGACAGCAGCTGTATCTGGAGTGGCCTCAGATCCTACAATTACATCTCCCTTTATTACCTGTGCTAATGGTGCTCTAGGATGACAGAAATAATAATAAATTAGCAGATTATGAACTTCACTTGCCACAAATTAAGTGGGGGGTTTTTAAATTCTGGGAGCTCAGAGCTGCCAAATCACTGAAATAAAGTAAACAAACCTGAATGTCAGATCAGATAGAGCAAATAAAGCAACTTTTCACATGGGATCTGGCAGCCACCAGCTGGAGTACAGGAGGGAAAGGTGTGTGTCTGTGTGGTAGAGGTGACCCAGTAAAGTGCTGGGAAGTAGTGAGGGAATGCAGCTTGGACTCAGCACTGCAGGCACTGGATGCTTCAATATGAGGCTTGGAACTTGGGAGGTAGGAGAGGTGTGGGGCTGAGTCGATTTCCCAGCGTCTTTCTGGATCAGGTCCACATAATGATTCCTGGGTGCTGGAGCCCAGTGGAGAAGATTTACCTGTCTTTCATTTCTGAAGGGTTCTGGGTGCTGTGCTGGAAAACAGCTCCAATGATGCAGTAATGTTCAATTGCTAGAGATTCCTGGATGCTATGAAGCAGCGGCTCTAGTGCAGTCATGTTTCACAGCAGGAAAATCCTAGGTGCTATAACGCTAGCATGGCTGTGCCCTTCCCCACACAATTTTTGTATCAGACTCCTTGGGTTGCATTCCTTTTGGGGCTCTATCTTTGTTGGTCTAAGCAGTAGGCATGTGCGAAACAGGCCCTATTTGATTTGGATTCAGATTTGGCCCAAATCAGGGACAGTGATTTGATTTTTTGATTCAGATCACTGTCCCTGATTCAGATTTGGATTCGGCTGAATCCAAATCTGAAGATTCAATGCTGATTCTCTGAGACCTGGAGGTTGATCAGGGGCTGTTTCAGCCCCATACAGCAATCTAGGACAGCTCTGACTTCCACCCAGAAACTTTCATCTGGGGAGATAGAAGTAGGTCCCTCCTGCTGACTATGCTCTGCCAGGGGATCCCCCGTGTCAGAGGACTTCTTATGTAGGCAGCTTTGGCATAAAGGAGTGAGAGTGGAGAAAGCAGCATCTGGATGAGAGCCCCCAGTGTTATTTATTTGTATCACTTTACACCAAAGACAAGTGGTTTGTGGCTCTGCTGTGCCAGGCACTTCTTAGTAGGGCTGTGCAAACCGTCAGTCACTGATTCAATTCGGCAGAGATTCGGCCCGATTTGGTGGCTGAATCTCCGAATCCAAATCAAATCAGGAGACCCTTTAATCTCTCCGAATCAAACTGGAACCCTCAGAATCGATTCGGAGAGATTCACAAAGATTCAGCGATTCAGACATAGACACAGCTTTAAATGTTTTTTCTACATACCTCAAGGTACCAGGCGGCTCATGAGGGCTGCGATGCTGGGGCAGATGGAGCGTCCCACAGGAGTGTGTGTGTGTGGGGGAGGTCCCCAGTGTGCTTAGCAGCAGACCTGGAAGTGGACCAGAAGCACCTTAGGTCCACTTCAGGGTTTGGTGGGGAATACGTGCCTTAGTGATGGCAGTTGAATGGCAGCCTTGAATTGTTACCAATCAACTTGAGTAAACAGGAGTTTTCCAGCATTTTTACTGCTTCTGGCCCTCACCAAAGATCTCTGCCTGAATTCCCTGGGCCAGGCTCTAAAGAGGGAGAAGGCAGTGCAAACCCAGTCATTCCACGCAAGTCCCATGAAATTCTACTAAAGGCTGTCACTTTAAACAAGATCAGCATCTGGCCTCTTGACCTGGAAGTCTCTGGCAGTAACTGACCTTCAAAGGGTAGATCCAAGAAACCAATGTCCCTAGGTCCATCTAGTGTACACATACACTTCATTTGTACCAGCAGGCTAGTGGTTTTCCAAGCTGTTCTGTAGCTGCCTGCCCTTCGTGCAGATATACAGGAGGGTCCCCAAGTTATAATACAAAGGCAGTATAGGAAGCAAGTCAGATTCTACTCTTACCTGGTGCAGGCCCTTGGGGCAGAGGATGCCTGGGTCCAGCATCTCTCTTTAGGATGGGCTATGGGGTTCAGAGCCCTCCCTTTGGGGATAAAGATTGAACACAAGCAGCAGGAATTAATTGCCTTTTTGAGGAATTGGAACCCAGTAGAAACATCAGAAAAAGTAGATTAAAAGTGCATGATGAAAAGTAAATTTGGGGTGCAGAGGTCTCAGGGGGCTGTTTTAGATGCAGCTGGCATTTTGGGGAAAGGATCTGCTCCCTGCCTGGACAAGCAAATGTGAAGCTGAGGACAGGGAGGTCAAGCTAGAG